TTTTTGTCTCGCGGCTAGCCCCTGACCTCACATCCAGTGATGTGACCGCTTTTATACAAAGCAAAATAAAAGCCGTCGGCTTAAAGGTGGAAAAATTTAACTTTTCTTACGCCAGGAAGATATCTTCCTTCAAGATAAGCGTCTCCCCAACTCAATTTTAAACCATTTGTTCCGCCAAGTTTTGGCCAGAGCATTTGGTGGTTAAAGAGTTTAAGGCTAAGAAAAAGAATAGGCCCCCCATTACTCTTCCTAGCATTCAGAACAGCGCTCCATCTCCATCCTCATCTTCCACCTCTACTTCTACCCATCAAAAATTCGAACTTCTCTTTTAGTTACCTACCAAAATTCCAGAGGCTTGCGTAGTAAGCATTTTTTTTTTTTTGTTTACTGTATTTTATTTATCGAATCTTCCTTATTAGAGACTGACGACAAGTATGCAAATCTTAACCTAATATATTTATTTAATTAATTACACTTAATTATTTAGAGTACGTCCCTAGCTAAGTATTATTGCTGGGTGGAGAGGTCTCTTCGCCGGAGTCTTGTAATGCTAGTGTGCCAAGTTAAAGATTTCGCAAGTCTACTAGGATGGGCCTTAAGCTTGGCCTGATACTGCTTTCACCTTTAATTGATCCTACATTTAAGTCTTTACGGATATTTTCATTCCGTATGTACCATGGTGCTCCAGTGATAGTTCTTAGTATCTACGATTGAGCTCTCTAGATTATTTCTAAATTACTAACGCAAGCATTTCCCCATATCTCGGAGCCGTATGTCCAGATGGGTTTGATAACTGCATTGTACAAAAGTAATTTGTAGTCCAGTTTTAGTGGTGAACGGGGTTTTATTAGCCAATGTAGATTGCTAGCTTTAAATTGAAGTAGATTTCTCTTCGCTTCGATGTGTTACAGTGTCGGTCCAAGCCAGCTGCCTTGGGGTACACTAGCTTCAATTGGATGATATTCATCGTACTGCGAAACTTCTTTGCTGTAAGTATGACTCATATTTTCCATGGATGTTCTGTGGAAGTAATATTTTGTTTTTTTAGATTAAGCCATCTAACCAAACGTGGTCGAAAGCCTGGGCGACATCTAGAAAAACAGCGGAGCAATACTCCCGTCCCGTTATACGGTTTACTTAGTCAATGGCTGCATGTCCATGTGTAGGTGTTGTTTCATAGGCAAGGCAGTAGGCTGATAGGTCTATATGATGATGGCTTGGACTTGTCTTTTCCGGCTTTATGGACCATTGAGATGACTGATTTCCTCCATTCTTGAGGATAATAGCCCGATTTCATCATGCTGTTGAATATCACAGTAAGGAAATACTCTGCACAGCTCGGCCATTCTATGATCATTTTAGGGGAGATGAAATCGTGGCCCGGAGCTTTCTTTTGTTTTGAGATTTGGTCTTTAATAACCCTTGTGACTTCACCTGATTGGAATATGATAGGCGGAGTATGCAGAAGCGTGGTAGGCAGTATGAATTTCAGTACGAATTGATGTTCTTTCTTTTGTTTTGAGATTTGGTCTTTAATGACCCTTGTGACTTCACCTGATTGGAATATGATAGGCGGAGTAGCGTCGGGATTGTTGGTTGGTTGGAGCACAAAGCTATTTGTTGCTGGGTGTGGTTTGAACACGTTTTCTAGATGGACGGCATCTTGATTGGTGGGCATACGCCTGATTTAGCTTTCCACATTGGGAATCGTTGCTAGTTGGGGAGAGTTGCTCCATATAGGATATTTGAGCTCGGATATGGATGTTCTGTGGAAGTAATATTTTGTTTTTTTAGATTAAGCCATCTAACCAAACGTGGTCGAAAGCCTGGGCGACATCTAGAAAAACAGCGGAGCAATACTCCCGTCCCGTTATACGGTTTACTTAGTCAATGGCTGCATGTCCATGTGTAGGTGTTGTTTCATAGGCAAGGCAGTAGGCTGATAGGTCTATATGATGATGGCTTGGACTTGTCTTTTCCGGCTTTATGGACCATTGAGATGACTGATTTCCTCCATTCTTGAGGATAATAGCCCGATTTCATCATGCTGTTGAATATCACAGTAAGGAAATACTCTGCACAGCTCGGCCATTCTATGATCATTTTAGGGGAGATGAAATCGTGGCCCGGAGCTTTCTTTTGTTTTGAGATTTGGTCTTTAATGACCCTTGTGACTTCACCTGATTGGAATATGATAGGCGGAGTAGCGTCGGGATTGTTGGTTGGTGGGAGCACAAAGCTATTTGTTGCTGGGTGTGGTTTGAACACGTTTTCTAGATGGACGGCATCTTGATTGGTGGGCATACGCCTGATTTAGCTTTCCACATTGGGAATCGTTGCTAGTTGGGGAGAGTTGCTCCATATAGGATATTTGAGCTCGGTTTTTTTTTTCATTTTCTAGGGCTCTGCGTAGTAGGTGGTTGGCTATTTTTAGCCAATCTTTCGAGGCAGGTGATCTGTGTTCTTGCCAGTCTCGCGTAGCAGCACTTCAATGTGCCTAGAATACGACTGCTGTTGGAAAGTTTATTAGTGTTTTGCGTGTTTTGCCGCCAGTGACATTGAGGATACCAATGCTTCGACTGACCTATCAATGTCATTCCTACAAGAAATGTTTGGGCAGCTATCAATATGGGAACTTATGTACTTCCTCTATTGGAGCCAATCTGTTTTGTTAGATGTTAGAAAGTGGATCTGTGGATCCGATGATCCAATCAAGTCGGGTTTCTTGTTTCGATCTGTGGGCCAATATGTAGGCTTGCCCGGAGAGATAAAGTCTATCTTGTTTCGTTTTATAGTTGTCTTCCTTTCGGGTTGGTAAGTCGAGATCCCCAATTGTAGCATTGTAGTCACCAGCTGCTATGAATCGGTCACCTAGTCGGTCGAAGAATGTTACAAATTCTGTTTCGGAAATGCAGAAGCGTGGTAGGCAGTATGAATTTCAGAACGAATTGATGTTTCCTGTTGATAAGGTGTAGCAAATGATGGCAATGGATAATGCCTGATGCGATGCTTGATCAGAACGCCAGTACCTCCTTGTGCCTTACCATCGGATAGAAGTTATAGCCATTGAGGTGAAAATGTCGTGTTGAGGGAGGAACTTCAAGAGATCACATTTTTGCTGTAAAATGCCATTTGCATTCCAGAAAGATATATTTAGACAAACAATTAAAACAGATTTCTGTTTTATTAGGAGTTCCATGTGGAGATTTTGGTTGCGCAGTTTCGAGCTGCAGTTATTTGTTGGCTTAGGCGATTTTTAAATTCTATATAGACAGGACAACCTCTATAGTTGGCAGTATGGTTTCCCCCACAGTTGCTACATTTTTTGGCAGATGGGTCCCCCTATTAACGGGGCAGGCCTCAGTGAGATGAACATCACCACAGGTCACGCAGATGCCCGTAGAGTGCAATAAGTTTTCGTGTGTCCATATTCTTGGCAATTTGTGCATTGTACAGGTCCATTTCGTTTGTGTGGTTCCCCAATGGTGATCCTACTGTGCAGTAGATATTGAAGCTTGTAGATTGGGTGAACTTAATTTTTACTTATATGCATACTGTCAGGTGTCAGTTCTACCTTGAACATTTGCTGGGGAATTTTATTTCTATTTTTTTATGTTCATAGCCATTTTGACTTCGAAGCCCTTATCGTTAAGTCCATCATTTATCTCATTGATTGGGAATGTTAGGAATGATAATCACTTTTAATCCTTTGCTACTTTTAAGTTGGTAAGTGTAGTAATTTATTTTTTCATTTTCGAGGTATTTGGGCGATCTCATCTTAATTTGGGACACTTAGTATCGCTAATCTATTGTTTGCTAGTGACTTATTTGGCACAGTGTTTTCGGTTATTTTTATTATTTTGGCTGCATTATTATTCTTCGCAGTTTGCGGGCTCAATATTCTTTTAATTTGAACATAGCGAGCCCAGTCTGAATTATCGGTTGGGAAAGGTGGGGCTTGTCGCAATGGGTCGACAGTACCGGGCGCTGACCAATTTCAGTGGTTGTTGTTGTGGTTGTTGTCGTGGTCGAAGACACAGTTTTGAGCGAGGGCATTGTACTAGTTGTTGTCGATATTAGCAAATCGTTGGTTAGGCAGTACGTGTCGGGGGATGGGCACTGAGCACTCCATGACCCACGTTGCAATGCAGGGGAGATAGAGCGTGCTCTCTCCTCGTTCACTTGCAGTGGTGCAGTTTTTTTTGGTACTGCTGCCTTTGGCTAGCGTAAAGAGAAGTACGCGTTGTTTTTTGCTTGCGAGAGCCGACGCTCGTCTTGTTGCTGTTGCCGGGCTTGGCTTATTTTGGCTTTGGTTACAGTGCTTGTGTTCTTTATCGAGCTGGTGCTCTTATACGTTGACATTTATTCTTTTCTATTATTTCTATTATTCTTTATTACTCGATTGGATGGTACTCATGGGCAGCACGAGAACTACCCATGCTTACCCCGAGCGCTTTTTCACGAATTAATTTGCTGATTTTCAAATGGATCGAATGGGTAGGCTATCGAACGTGTCCGCTGCTTTCGTAAAGCCGAGTTTAAGAAACTTAATAACCTTTTTTGATTTTTTGAATGGTCCGCTCTTGTGCACTGACGTTATGAAAGGAACAAACATTTTTCACAATATATATTTGAGATGCCAAGCTTTTTTGGCCCCTATATCTTTCCAAAATCAGTTAAAAGACTTTCGATTTAAAAGGTTATAATATTTATTTATACCGGCGGCTAGCTGAAGCCAATTGCCCGCTCTTTTGCCCGGCCAAATAAATGTGCACAAGAGGGGGTTCGGTATGCAACCTATGCGGCGAGAGATTAGCATAGAAGTAAAATAGGCCACGACGGCCGATCAAAGCAAGAGCCGAAGCGGCAGGTGCAGAGCGCCCTTTCACAGGGAGAGCGCAGCAACACTGCCGAACGCTGGAGGCATACATAAGTTTAGGTTTCGATACTCTTATACAAATAGGTACAGCTACATTTAATATTATGAAATAGACGCTTAAATAGCCGCTGGCCCGAACATAATCCCCCCCGTTGGAAACTCGCCTTTCAACTGACTTCTCAAGGGGCAGCAAACACAGCCGAGTAACGGCCCTCCTGATGGTTCCTGAAGCCGTCCTCAAATCAGCCATTCTGCATACTCCATCCTTGCCTTTGACGACATCGACCACTCTAGCCAGTGGCCAACGCATTGGAGGAAGATTCTCGTCCTTCACCAAGACGACATCGTTGACGCAGAGGTTTGACGCAGAATGTCTGCTGCAGTTGAGTGACCCGCTGCCAACCATCCAGACGATTGTATTTGAGCTTCGTTAGGTCAGGCTCGAGAATTGTTTCATGCGGGCCTCCCAAAAGCAGATGAGCAGGCGTCAACACATCCAAGTCATCAAGATTTTCTGAAAGCGAGAGCAAAGGGCGAGAATTAACAATTGCCGTGGTCAGGCAGATCAAGGTACGCAGCTCGTCGAAGCTAAGGTCGGATGGCCCAACAGAGCGGTACAAGTCATGCTTTGCGGTCTTCACGGCCGCTTCCCACAATCCGCCAAAGAGCGGAGAACGAGATGGAATGAAATGCCAGTCGATTGTGTCAGCCAAGCAGGATACATTTACTTCCTTAATTTGCGAGTCGCTCAGGAAAAGTTTCTTCAGCTCCCGAAGCTCATTCTTAGTGCCAACGAAATTTGTCGCATTGTCCGACCAAATTTGACTTGGCCTACCGCGAGTGGACGTGAAACGTTTCAATGCGCCTAGGAACGATGCGGTGGTCAGATCTCTAACAAGCTCCATGTGTATGGCCTTAGATGTGAAACAAATAAACATGCTTAATCGAATTTTAGCAAGCAAGGCGCGAGGTACGGCATGGAAGTTTCGTTGATGATAGTAGCTTATCATTGCAGAGGTTACGGGATGTCCCTTGGGCAAAATAAGTGGTAGCTGATCATTAAGCGGGAGCGATGAGTTGCCGAGACGACCTCCAACTCGAAGTAAACCTGACGGATCGAGATAAACGGAGATAGCGAACTGATGGAGCTGAACGCGTCGAACAAGAAGATGCGTTCCTTGCTGAATGTCAGAAACCGTGAGTCCAGGATGCCTAAGACGATGAACGAATTTATGCATGTAGGCGAATGTGCGCTGCATACCAAAGAAAGAGTTTGCAAATTTGCATCAGGACGTGAGATCGGCATGTGGAGACGCGATCAGCAATGCACGTTTGCGAAGCTCATTGGTTGGAGTTTCAGAAACGGGAGATACAGGCCACTCCTCCTTAGAGCCCAACAGAAACGAGGGGCCGTGAAACCACAGCTCTGACTGGATGAGGGAAGCTGACTGGGAATCGAGCCTCTCGAGAGGATACCAGCGGGATTCAACGATGTGGGAACATAGCGCCATTCCATGCCTTGCGTCAACTCCTGAATTGTGGCCACTTGATTTGCCACGAAAACCTGAAATTTAGCTGGCTCATCCCGTATCCAAGATAACGCCGTAGACGAATCCGACCAGCAGTAAAACTGACCTGGGTAGATTCCCGTCTCCTTTAAGTTGCGCATAATCTTCGCAAGCAAATGGGCTCCACTCAATTCCAGCTTTGGAATCGACAATGATTTTAGTGGCGCCACTCGAGACTTTGAGCACAAAACATTGCTCGACGACTTCCACTACCTGGCTGATCCGATGCAGGGTCCCAAGCTAAACCAAGAGTTTTGGTAATGTCGCTTCCATCATGAAACCGTAAAAATTTCTCCACGTCGTCTTCTAGAATTCCATCAAGCACCTCATGGTTACTCGAGCACCATTTTCTTTGTTTGAAGTTACCGCAAGACAGTAGACTTGAAGTTTGGCGCATCTTTTCCCTGACCTCTGCGACCGAGTTGCCGCCAGAGATGAGATCATCAACATAGAACTCCTGTTGCAGAGCAGCTGAGCGAAGAGGGTTGCGACTACTTTCGTCGATGGCCAGCTGGTGCATTGCACGGACAGCTAAAAACGATGCAGCCCTCGTACCGTATGTGACGGTGTCTAATGTGTAGACCTGAACCTCGGACTGGATGGAATCTCGCCATAGGATACACTGGAGAAAATTGTCAGGTGGAGATACCTTTACGCAACGGTACATTTTACAAATGTCACCAGTGAGAGCGACGGGATATGTGCGGAACCGGATCAATATGTTAAACTGTTGTTATGTTATGTTGATGTAGATGCAGAGCCATCGAAAACGACACGGAGTTTTGTCGTGGTACTGTCCTCCTTTAAAACGCAGTGATGAGGCAGAAAATACTTGCAAAGGCTACGTGAGTCAGGATGGACTTCGGACATATGCTTTAAATCAGTATACTCTTTCATAAAAGCTGAGTAACGCTCCTTGAGCGTAGGATTACGATCCAGTTTTCGCTCCAAGCTGAGAAATCGTCGATACGCCTGAGTATAGGACTCTCCCAAGTGATCAGCATCATGCTTTAAAGGCAGTCGAACAGAGTACTCCCCTGATGGCAACCGTGAAAAGTGGCTTACGAAATGCGCCTCACAATCTACTTCTTCCTTTGTACTCAAGCTAGCCTCCACACAATTCTCAACTTCCCAAAACATACGAAGAGCTCGATCCAACCTTGCATTCATTCTCCGAATCCGGAGAATTTTGGGTTGCCAAAAGCGACGAGCTTGATACCCTCTGTCCACCACCAGATACGATCCACCCAAGCCGGGTCTTCTGCAGAAGAGGCAATCCATCTATGAGCTTGATTTGCCCTACGCAGAGAAGGTCATAGAATATTCTCGCGCTAATGAGGAGACCTACTCGCTGAGGATTAAAGAATGCAGGATCGGCAAGCTCAATATTGGAGGGAATGTTCCAATCGTCTACATTAACTGCCAGACTTGGTTGGCTATCTGTGATTGTGGGTGCGATGAGAGCAGTGAGTGTGGTCGAATAGTCGGAAATGCGAGACTGCATGCAAATGCTGACGGTGGATCCCTCAGTGGACACGCTAGTATCGCCCAGACCAGAAACAAAGGCAGACGATTGAGGTAGACGCATGGGACGGAACACTGCTGGCAGAATCCTGAACCGGCGTAAAAGCTCCTGGTTGTACTGATCGTTCTGGAGGAGAAACAGCTGGGGTGCTTTGCGCTATGGATGAGTCGAAGTGCAATAAGGTATGAAGCCTCCTTCCGCAAACAAAGGCAACAAAGTTTTCTTTAGATGTGTAGACTGGCTTTTTCCCACCTGAGCCCTACCAGCGTGTGACGAAATAGCGTACTGCACGTTCTCCATCTTCTGGCATCGCTTCTCCAAGAAATCGTAGAACTCCCCAGCTGTGGATATCCTGTCCGCTGAGGCAGTCTCTTCCCATTTGGTTTGGGTCTTCGCATCTAGTTTTTGCAGCAGCATGTATCCCGATGCATCATGCATCCCGATATCTCCTCAGCACTTCCTAATGTCTCCAGAGCACGTATATGCAAGTTGACTGCGTCCGAAATTTCCCGAAGCCTTTTAGCAGAAGGCGAATCTACCTTCTTGAGCCCAAGAATCTTCTTGATGTGTGCCTGGAAAACAAGTCGTTTATTATTAAAACGTTTGCTAAGTATGTCCAGAGTCACACGATAATTGGCACTGGAGAGCTCCAACGATCGAACCGAATCCAGGGCCGCATTCGAGAGACATGAGCGAAGATGTTTCACTGAGATCTGCAACCCCTTCGATGACCGAATTGAACATGGCAATAAAATCCGCATATTCCACATAGCCACCGGAGAAGCTAGGTAGCTTCAGCTCAGGAAGCCGCTGCTTGTGAGCCATGATGATGGTATGACCTCTAGAGCTATTTGGCATGCTAGTGGAATGAGCAGCTACGCGTAAATGACCTAGTTTGAGTTCATGATGGGACTTGTTGAACTCCTCACGCATTTCTGCCAACATATCGAGGCGCACATCTATTTCAGACGCACTTAGTTTGTCGAGTTTATTCCCCGAGAATGACTCGCCAAGACGGTGCAGCCGATCATGCAGAGACTGAACCGACCTCGCCTGTATTCGGCTCGTTGTCCATGCCAAACGGTGTAATGCAACGAAGCAACGGAAAATGTAAGACCTCTTAAGCGACGGCGAACAGAACGGGAGCGAGAATAGAAGACACGGAAAGTCAAGGGCCGCGGCTGCAGCGATGCAGAGCAAGAGAGATTCGGTGATAAAGCAACGGAATATTAGACGGCTGCAGTCTCACTGCAAGTTCAGTGTTCTTATTTGCACAAATTTATTTGTTGGTTGTTAAACAACAGCAACGAATATCTTATTCCATTTTTATAGTTTTTAAACGAAACGCGATTTAAAGTTTTGTAGTTTGTAGTTAAATCACGTCGGGGTCACCAATGCTTGAGATGCCAAGCTTTTTGGCACCGATATCTTTCCAAAATCAGTTAAAAGACTTTCTATTTACAACGTTATAATATATATTTATACCAGCGGCTAGCTGAAGCCAATTGCTCGCTCTTTTGCCCGGCCAGATAAATGTGCACAAGAGGGGGTTCAGTATGCAACCTATGCGGCGAGAGATTAGCATAGAACTAACTTATGCCACGACGGCCGATCAATGCAAGAGCCGAAGCGGCAGGTGCAGAGCGCCCTTTAACAGGGAAAGCGCAGCAGCACGCTGGAGACATACATAAGTTTAGGTTTCGATACTCTTAATAGCCGCTCTCCCGAACAAATACTTGACACATTTTTTTATTCTTGTGTACCTTTTTCTTGTCAGGCTAGATCTGGGAAGCCTCCTTGGTTTACCAACTAAAAATCAAGACTATAAAAAGTTTGTTCTGCCTCTTCTCTCTCGCGCTATGTTATAATTCGGTCAAATTTCTCCGTTCTAAACGCTCAATGCTATAAAAATTACATATTTCGATGCAGGATACGATTTACACAGGACCCTAAACAGTTTTGCGCTTACTAAATAGTAAGTGTAGAATATACGCACATCCATACTCGCTATTATTTCTCATTATGTCAGCAGACAATGATCAGGCAATTGCCGATCTTTTTGCCAAATTCATACAATACATACAGTTTTCCAAGGTCGAATGGCATTTTCAGTGTCTCGTTAAATGACAGCTCACTGCTTCATGATTTTCGATTAGTTAAGCCGGTGTTTTCACCAGGTCCTGACGGAGTTCCCGGCTGTGTAGTCAGGTACTGTACCGGCGCTCTGAACCTCTCTTAAGCTTAAACTATTCACCCTATCCATTAACTCTTCATGCTTCCCCCCATCTGGAAGGAATCCGTTATTATTCCGCTCCATAAGAAAGGTATCAAGTCTGATGCAAATAATTATAGAGGTATATCTAACTTATCCACTATTCCTAAAATGCTTGGACAAATTTTAACTCCTCAGCATCTCCATCT